TCTAGCATCAAGAGACCTTTGGAGTCTAGAAAATCTCTACCATAATTATTAAGCTTGGTATTGCCACACCTCACATATGCATTCTCTCCTGGAGGCCAGTTTTCTGATCTGCATGTACACAACTCACATGCCATTCTCATGATTCTGTAGGTCTCTCAAGCAGGAAGCAAATCTTATGCTAAAGATCAGGGCTTGGGCTGGGCTCAATGCTCACGCCTGTAATCCTAGCACTCTGAGAGACCAAGATGGGTGGATTGCCTGAGCTCATGGGTTTGAGACCAGCCCAAGCAAAAGCGAGACCCATCTCTAAAACTAGCTGAGTATTGTGGTGGGTGCCAGTAGTCCTAGCTACTCAGGAGGCTGAGGCAAGACAATCGCTTGAGCCCAGGAGTTTGAGGTAGCTATGAGCTATGACAGCACAGCACTCTACCAAAAGTGACAAAGTGAGAGACTCTGTCTCAAAAAACAAAAAAAGATCAGCGTTCAATTTTCCCTACAATTTACGACTATGATATGGCTTCTTATATATGAGAGGTGGGAGCAAAGATGTGGTATGGAAAAGCAACTCCCTGGGAGAGTCTATATGAATCTATATACTATACTTATTTCCTTCAAATATTTGTTGAGCTCTTACTATTTGACAAGCACTTGTCTAGACACAGGCATGCAGTGATTAAAGACAAACAAGGGCCCTGTTCCATTAAGTATATTATAATGGGAAGAGATAAAAAGAAATTAACAATAAATAAGAAAAATATCAGATAGTAACAAGTAACATGCAGGAAAATAAAATAGGGTCAGGTGGGGTGGTGTGGTGGCTCATCCCTTAATTCTAGCAATTTGGGAGGCCAAGGCAGGAGGGTAGCTTGAGGCCAGGAGTTCAAGACCAATCTGGGCAACATGCCAAAATTCTGTCTCCACAAAAAATAAAAATATTTAGCTGTGGTGTTACATACCTGTATTCCCAGCTATTAGGGAGCCTGGGCCAAGAGGATTGTTTGAGCCCTTCTGTAACATATTAGTTACAGAAGGTTGGAAGGAGTTCTTTTATTCATTTTTATTGGGGTATAATGGACAAATACATATTTAAGGTGTACAGCTTCATGTTTTACACATATATATATTGTGAAATAACCACCACAATTAAGGTAGTTAACATATCTATCACCTAACAGAGTAACCTTATTTTTTTTAAAGACAGAGTCTCACTTTATCATCCGCGATTGAGTGCTGTGGTGTCACAGCTCACAGCAACCTCCAACTCATGGGCTTAGGCGATTCTCTTGCCTCAGCCTCCCAAGCAGCTGGGACTACAGGGCCTGCCACAACCCCTGGCTATTTTTTGTTGCAGTTTGCCTGTGGTCAGATTTGAGCCCGCCACCCTTGGTATATGGGGCTGGCGCCCTACCCACTGAGCCACGGGCACCACCCTACCTTTTTTTTTTTTTTTTTTTTAATGATGAGAACACTTAAGATCTACCCTCTTAGCAAATTTCAAATATACAACACAGGAGTGTTGGTTATAGAAAAAAATAACCCCACAGTATTGTTAACTATAGTCACTATGCTGTACATTAGATCTCCAGAACTTATTTATTTTGTGTAACTAAAACTTCATACCCTTTCTTTTTTTTTCTGAGACAGAGTCTTTTTTTTTTTTTTTTGAGACAGAGCCTCAAGCTGTCCCCCTGGGTAGAGTGCCGTGGCATTACAGCTCACAGCAACTTCCAACTCCTGGGCTCAAGCGAGTCTCCTGCCTCAGCCTCCCAAGTAGCTGGGACCACAGGCGCCCGCCACAACGCCCGGCTATTTTTTGGTTGCAGCCGTCATTGTTGTTTGGCGGGTCCGGGCTGGGGATTTGAACCCGCCACCTTAGGTGTACGTGGCTGGCGCCTTAGCTGGTTGAGCCACAGGCGCCGAGCCCTGAGACAGAGTCTTACTCGGTAAACTCTGTTTAAACTCTTGGGCTCAAGTGATTCTCTTGCTTCAGCCTCCCAAGTAGCTGGGACTATAGGTGACTGCCACAATGCCTGGCTATTTTTTGCTACAGTTGTCATTGTTGGTTAGCTAGCCTGGGCCAAGTTCGAACCCGCCAACTTCAGGTATGTGGCTGGAGCCGTACCCACTGTGCTATGAGTGCTGAGCCTGAAACTTCATACACTTTGACTAATATTTTATCATCTCCCCCATCCCCCAGTCCCTGGAAACTGCCATTCTATTCTGTGCTTCTATGAATTACACTATTTTAGATTCTGTGTATAAGTGAGATTATATAATATTTGTCTTTCTGTATCTGGCTTATTGCACTTAGCATCATGTCCTCAAGGGAGGACATTTCCAATAAGGCGTAGGAGTGATGGCACTTACTTCTGGTTTTCTTTCTTTCTTTTTTTTTTTTGTAGAGACAGAGTCTCACTTTATCACCCTCAGTAGAATGCCGTGGCATCACACAGCTCACAACAACCTCCAACTCCTGAGCTTAGGCGATTCTCTTGCTTTAGCCTCCCGAGTAGCTGGGACTACAGGCGCCTAGCTATTTTTTTAATTGCAGTTTGGCCAGGGCCGGGTTTGAACCCGCTATGCTCAGTATATGGGGCCGGCGCCCTACCCACTGAGCCACAGGCATTGCCCTTACTTCTGGTTTTCTAATGTGTAATCCCTTTGCAGTATGGAAAAAGAAAATGTTAGAATGTTATGTTGGATATGTTCAGTAGGTGTACTTACACTACCGACCCTTGTGTTGTGTGTATTTCAGGTACTATCTGTTCTCCCTCATCATGAATTTGAGCCGTGATGCTTATGAGATTCGCCTACTGATGGAACAGGAGTCTTCAGCTTGTAGCCGGCGACTGAAGAGTTCTGGAGGAGGAATCCCAGGAGGAATTGAAACTGGGGAACTTGGGGGACCAGGGACACCAGGAGGAGGTCTACCCCAACTGGCTGTGAAGCTTCGGCTCCGAGTCCTACTCCTGGCTCGAGTCCTTCGCGGTCATCCCCCACTTCTGCTGGATGTGGTCAGAAATGCCTGTGATCTCTTCATTCCACTGGACAAACTAGGTCTCTGGCACTGTGGCCCTGGGATTGTGGGGCTTTGTGGCCTCGTGTCCTCCATCCTGTCTATTCTCACCCTAATATATCCCTGGCTACGACTGAAACCCTGACATTCTGGCACAAGAAAAGGAGTGGACCTGAATTGACGAGATGGAATCTTGGATTGTCCTCCATGTACCAGCTTTGTTCTAATTCTACTCCTTGGTTAAAGCTACATTTTAGAGATTTAGAGATAGAGGAAGAAGCTTTAGAAATGATGAGGGAAGATAGGTGACTCATGAGGTCAGCAGGATGATTATAATATCCAGATATATCTGAGCGTTTGTTCTTTTCTTTTTTCATTGTCTGTGTCTCTCTTGACTTTTTACTTTGCATCTCTTAAGTATATTTTAAGAGTCTATGTCTATGTGTCTCTCTTATTTACATTCTGAGTCTCCATCTAGGAATTTAATCAGCAGAATTACTTTTTGGTGGGAAGGTGTGAGGTTTTGTCTGTAAGTTTCTAACTGGCTTCTTTTTTCTCTCAGAGGTGGCCTGTGGCAGATTTTTCCTTTTTCAGACTCCTAATCATTATTTTTAGACTTTATGTCCCAGTGGACTCTTCCCTGTGTCTCTGTACCACAGGTGGTTTGACCTTCCTCTTCCTCCCTCATGTCTACCTCACCAGCCTCCCTCGTGATTTGGCCCTTACTCTTCCCTATCCCCACCCCTTCAGATTTCTGCTTATATTTTATTTCAGAGCTTTGTTCCTTAGTCTGTTTTTATCCCTTCTTTGCCTATCCAGAATGATGCTATGTCTAGCATCTTGCTGTAAATACTGTACAGTGATTCCATGTAAATAGCTGTGGCTCATGCTCACAACGGAGAGCAAGTCTTTCAGGTCTGCAAATTAAAGATCACTTTGCTCATTGACATTTGGTCTGGTCTCTCAGTTTTTGATCATTGAAGCTCCCATTCCTGTCACTGTGCTTTGGGGTTTCTCATGGGCTTGACAATAATCATCACCTACATGTTTTTATAGAGCACCTACAGAGTACAGGAAAAAATACTAGGTAGCAGACACATAAAAAGCTAAACAGTACCACAGTGCCAACTTTAAGAAATTTATACCTGGTTGAAGAGTTAGAGTGTCCAAGAAGTGGTCTAATGGTAAAGTAATTATACCAGTGCCACAAAACACAGCATACCAGTTCATAGATACAGTCCCTCTAAAAACTATAATGCCAAAACGCAGCACAGGCTGAGACCACAAACAGAACTAGGTAGAGTGGGGCTGGTAACGCTTGGTTTATCCAATTTGTCTTCACATTTTGGAACCCATCTGCTGAATGTGTGAGGAAAATGATACCACTGCTATCAGTGCTTTCATTTTCTTTATCTCAGGTTGAGATAAATAGGGTTAGAAAGTAAAAAGAGGCTAGGCACCCGTAGCACAGTGGTTACGGCCCCAGCCACATACACTGACGCTGGCAAATTGGAACCCGGCCCAGGCCAGCTAAGTAACAATGGCAACTGCAGTAAAAAATAGTCCAATGAGGCAGCACCTGTAGCTCAAAGGAGTAGGGTGCCAGCCCCATATACCACAGGTGGTGGGTTCAAACCCAGCCCTAGCCAAAAAAAAAAAAAAAATAACCGGATGTTGTGGCAGGCACCTGCGGTCCCAGCTACTTGGGAGGCTGAGGCAAGAGAATCGCTTAAGCCCAAGAGTTTGAGGTTGTCGTGAGTTGTGATGCTACAGCACTCAACCAAGGGCAACATCATGGACTCTGTCTCAAAAAAAAAAAAAAAAAGAAAAAGAAAATCTATCACTATTGACTGGCAACAAAAAAAAGGTAGAAAAAAAGAAATAGAAATAATCAAAAAATGTGTTCTCCTTGAATATCAAGATGAGGCCTCCAGGGGGCAGCACCAAGGCAGAGAAGTAGGCTACATAAGTTGCTCAGTTCTCCTTCCCTTGGTCTGGGGCTCCCTACAGTTCCCCACCAGCACTCCTCCCATTCCTTCCAACTTTATTTTTAGCTGCAGTGGGAGGGGGAAGGATGGGAGGGAAAGTAAAGAAAACAGAAAAGGAGAGGGACAGACAGAAGACTTCTCATACAAGACAGAGGACGACCAGGCATGAAGCGCTCCCTTATCTTTCACCTGTTCTTGCCTCTGATGTTCCTGACAGGTGAGGGAGGTTGGTTTCTGGTGGGAATGGAAGGTCTACGAATTGCTTGGAATCAGGACTCCTAGGGTTAAAATTCTTTGGGAGTCAGTGTAGGAAGTTAACACTGATTCTACATTTTGTGTATGTGTGTGTGTACATGCGTGGACATTCTTATGTCCCAGCATGACTGCTCTAATATCAAGACTGGCAGGGGCTAAAGCTGCTTGGGACTAAGATTTGTATCTAATTACATAAAACCTTTGTCCTAAGCTCTGTAGGAGTGAGGAGACAGAAAAGAAACATGATGTAGCTGTCCACGTGGCTAGTCTCATTCCTATTACCTTCCTCCCTACTTCTTCCTACCCTTGGTGGTCCTTGGGGCCTGAGTATAACTGACTATGTGGTCAGAACTCTAGGTTTATCTAACCAATGAATTACAATTCCTGGTCATACAATCCTGCCAATTTCCTGAATGCAAAAAGGCTCACAAGACACTTTCTTAAAATGAGCATGATTTGGGATAGAGCTATAGACATTGATAGTGGTGGTGGTAGGGGAGCCTAAAAGGGGGTTGCTTGGAATCCGTAAGGAGCAGGACACAGTTGGGAGAAGAACCATGGGAGGGACAAGAGGCCTGGAATTTTTCTTTGCCAGTGCCCTGTAATCTTTGTTTCCTAAAATACCAGCTGATTTTAAAGGGATTGGGGTTAGAAGAGAAGAGTCAGCCAGGACATGATTGGGGGTCTTTAGAGTGTCCTGAAGGTTGAGGAAACCATGGAGGTAGGTGGGGAGCAGTTGAGAAGGTAGATGAGTTAAAAAAGAGGCAAGTTGTGGGAAACTGGAGAGAGGGGACCCTTGGCAAGGCTGGATGGCAAACTATGTGTGTGGGCAGGCTAGTGGCTCCACCCAGTTAATTACCACTGAGGTTTCCAGGGCTAAAGTCAACCAGGGACCTAAACATTGGAGAAAGACAGTGAAAGTGTAAAAATGACATTGGAAGTCAAGAAGAGATAGAGAAAGAGAGGCCCAGACACAGCGCTCCTTCACCTCCTTTCATTGCCCCTGTGATCCTGCGTCTTGGGGGAAGTTTGGAAGGAATGACCATTCTGGGGCTGCAGAAAGGCTTTCTCTTTCTTTTTACCCTCACAGCTTAAGAAGGAGAATGTGTAGGAGGAATGATGTGGAAAAGAGTAACTTGAGCTTTCTAGACATGTCTGTGAATGAGATTTCAGGGGTGGGAGGAGAAATACAGTTGCACATCAGCCTGGCAGAGGGCCACAGGTTACGCATCTAGACACAAACACAGGAAGGGAATCATCCTTGCTTAGGGCTCTGAGTACATGACATTGACAGAGGCCAGGAGACCTTATGAGTGAAAAAGCAGGCAGACAGACTGAGAGGAAGACATTCCCTCATGGCTTCTCTTCTGCTGGGCCTCTCTAGTCTTTCATTGACTACTTCATGTGGACCTTATGATCTTGGCCACACAGGTCTCTGCTCCCCCTTTAACCTGGACGTGCATCACCCACGCCTGTTCTCAGGCCCATCAGAGGCTGAATTTGGATACAGTGTCTTACAACATATTGGGGATGGACAGCGATGGTGAGAAGGAAACTAGAGGCCCATGGGATTGGGACGGTGATAGTGCTGATAAAGTGTGATAGTGCTGACAAGACAGATGGACTCAAGCCAATCTGAACTTATGAAAGTGACTGGGGCTCTAAATTTAACCACCTCTGTGCCCTTTCCCTCTCGCCTATGTCAAGGGTCGTGTTCACCCTATGCTTATATTCACATCCTCCTCCCAGGATGCTGGTGGGCGCCCCCTGGGATGGGCCTTCAGGTGACCGGAGGGGGGACGTTTATCGCTGCCCTGTAGGGGGCCCCTACAATGCCCCATGTGCCAAGGGCCACTTGGGTAAGAAGATGCCTGACACTTCTCCTAACACCTGACTTGATTCCCTAGTAGCCTTAACCCCTAGACTTCAGGTTCTTTAACCCCATAACCCATATATTCCCTGTCCCCAATTTGATACTGATCCCTTCTCATTCTCTTCCAAAATCACCCTGAACTTAAAAGCATCCTCTCTGTGACCCCATGATCTCATTCTCTTCTATCTCCCCTCCAAACAGGTGACTATCAACTGGGAAATTCATCTCAGCCTGCTGTGAATATGCACCTGGGGATGTCCCTGTTAGAGACAGATGGTGATGGGGGATTCCTGGTGAGCTAAGGAAAGGGTGGTGGCAAGGCCTCTGAAGGTCCATAGCAGGAAAACGGAGTAGTGTGGGAAGGGAAACTAGTTTATGTGGAGGAGTCCAAGAGTCCAAAATCCTAGAAAACAAGATAGAGAATCTCAGGAAGTGGTCTTAATGCCTCCCTCCTTCAACTGGTATCATGTTCTGTGGGTGCCCTCCCAAGCCTGGGAGTAACTATTTTCTCCACCCGTTCGCAGGCCTGTGCCCCTCTCTGGTCTCGTGCTTGTGGCAGCTCGGTCTTCAGTTCTGGGATATGTGCCCGTGTGGATGCTTCATTCCGGCCCCAGGGAAGCCTGGCACCCACTGCCCAACGTGAGCCAGAGGAAGGGCCTGAGGAGTTAATGCTCAGAAGAGGGTGCTTGGTGGGGAAAAATTGGGACAAAAGGGCATATGGCAGGAGCCCTGCGTCATGCCTATCCTCATTGCTACCTAATATGCCCATAAAAGCCTCATATTTCCTAACACATTAGAATTCAGACTCTTTACCAGGACATCAAGACACCATGATCTGATCTAACCAACTTCAGAAACTCAACTCATCCCTTCACACACCCTGGGCCTTGGCCATAGTATGCACCTCACCATTCTCCTGTGTGTCATCTATTTTCCTACCTTCATCTCCCTTTGTTTCACATATTCTCTAACCAAATTCCTTTCCTTATATTCTCCTCTACTCAAACTTTTTTTTTTTTTTGAGACAGGGTTTTACTCTGTTGCCCCCCATAGAGCGCTGTGGCTTCACAGCTCACAGCAACCTCAAACACTTGGGCTCAAGTGATTCTCTTGTCTTAGCCTCCTGAGTAGCTGTGACTAAAGGCACCCTCCACAACACCCAGCTATTTTTAGAGATGGGGTCTTGCTCTTGCTCAGGCTGGTCTAGAACTCCTGAGTTCAGGTGATCCACCTATCTTGGCCTCTCAAAGTGCTAGGATTACTGGCATGAGCCACCACACCCGGCCTCCTCAAACATCTTTACTGCTCAATATCTTCTTAGCTGCTGCCTCTTTTGATTCCCCACTATGAGAGCAAGCATTCTCTTTCATTCTCCTATAGCACAGTACTGTTTTCTTCTTTTTCTTTTTTTCTTTTGAGACAGAGTATTACTCTGTCACCCTGCGTAGAATGCCATGGTGTCATAGTTCACAGCAACCAAACTGTTGGGCTTAGATGATCCTTTTGTCTCAGCCTCCTGAGTTGCTGAGACTACAGATGCGCACCACTACACCTGACTAATTTTTCTATTTTTAGTACAGAAAGGGTCTGCTTCTTGCTCAGGCTGATCTCGAACTCCTGAGCTCAAGGGATCCTCCTGCCTCAGCCTCTCAGAGGGCTAGGATTACAGGCATTGAACCACCATGCCCAGCCAAAAGTGTTGTTTTCTATATAGCATTCAATTCATTCTTTTTTTCCAGTAATTGTATACCTATAGCTGTCTCCTCTTTTACTCATTTCCATACTTACCCAGAGCCTGGGACGGTATCCTTCTTACATGCAAAAAGTACCTCATGAGTGTTTGTATTGACTGTGCCCTCCCAGCCCAGATCCTGCTTCTCTGTTCCCCATCACCCTTCCCTCCTCCTAGGCTGTCCCACATATATGGATGTTGTCATTGTTTTGGATGGCTCCAACAGCATCTACCCCTGGTCCGAAGTTCAGACCTTCCTACGAAGACTGGTAGGGAGACTTTTTATTGACCCGGAGCAGATACAGGTAAGAGAAAGCAATGTGGATGGGCTCAGAGGGGGAGAGACAGGAAAGAGGAAAGAAATGTAGACAGCATTTTCAGTAGTATTCTGGTGTTCATCTTCCCTCTCTCACACACTTTCTTCTCTCTCCTGTCCCCCATCCCACATATGTATGTTCCACCTGAATACACACTTAATTCCCAGGTGGGACTGGTACAGTATGGAGAGAGCCCTGTACATGAGTGGTCCCTGGGAGATTTCCGAACCAAGGAAGAAGTAGTGAGAGCAGCAAGAAACCTCAGTCGGAGGGAAGGACGGGAGACAAAGACAGCCGAAGCAATAATGATGGCCTGGTGAGGCACTGGGAAAGGGGATGTGGGGGGCCAGAGGGATGAGAGCTGAGAAGGGTCAGCGGATGGTGTGGAGTGCAGTATGAGCATCTGGAGATGTTTTGCGTGCTTATCTTTATATGTGCATTAATGCCCCAGGGAAGAAAGTGAGGTCAGCTGTCCTTGTACTCCCTCTCATTGTGTTTCTACAATATCTAGAACATGGATCTGTGCCTCTCCATGTCTCTGTTTTATCTTTGCAGACAGAACTCTCTCTCCCCATCCCTCCCCTCCAACATTGATCCTGGCCCCGTCATTCTCCACCACTCATGTCCTAGCCCACTTTCCAAACCTCATTCAAAGCCCATATTTAACTCCCCTGACCTGACCATTCTCCTCTGTTCTACATTTCCTTAATATTTATGCCCCAAATATAATGTTTGTTGAATGAATCTATGAATGAATGAATTTTGTATCATTTGTATTGATTATCTGATCTGTTACTCTGTATGTTCTATGACATTCAAACATCTGAGCTCTTGCTCTGTGCCGGTCTTCATGTTTGACACTGGGGAAATGGCCTTAAAAGGCAAGATGACCAACCTTAGTGAAGTGCTGATAGCATTAAATCCTGCATGTGATATGTGATATGTGTGTCTGCATACATCTGATCACACCTCACTTCTTTCTCTCTCAGCACAGAAGGGTTCAGTCAGTCTCATGGGGGCCGACCCGAGGCTGCCAAGCTACTGGTGGTTGTTACTGATGGAGAATCCCACGATGGAGAGGAGCTTCCTGCAGCACTGAAGGCCTGTGAGGCTGGAAAAGTGACACGCTATGGGATTGCAGTGAGAATCAACTCTTATCTGGGACGATGGTCAGGGGGTGGTGATTTGGAAGCTGCCCAAGGACTAAAAATTTTAGGAAAACAGGGGCATTAAATACTTCCCTTCAATACTTCACTTTGAATTGGCTGTATTCTGTACCAGCTCTAACACCCCACTTCACCAGCTAATAGACCCCATCTTGATCTCCTGACCTCAGGTCCTTGGTCACTACCTTCGGCGGCAGAGAGACCCCAGCTCTTTTCTGCGGGAAATTAGAGCTATCGCCAGTGATCCAGATGAGCGATTCTTCTTCAATGTCACAGATGAGGCTGCGCTGACTGATATTGTGGATGCACTAGGAGACCGAATTTTTGGTCTTGAGGGTAATGATTACTTGGAAGAAGAAATGGAGGACATGGTGTGGAGAGTTCTGGAGTATAGATGGGGTTCTGGACTGAGTTCAGTGGGTCAAAAGAGGGACTGTCTTCCCCTGATATTGCCTTGATATATTTCTCATGCCCAAGGGTCCCATGGAGAAAATGAAAGCTCTTTTGGGCTGGAAATGTCTCAGATTGGTTTCTCCACTCACCAGCTAAAGGTTAGACAGACACTGATCCCCTCCATGACACCTCCCAACCTCCGACCTCTTCATGACTCCTTCCAACCTTTGACTCAAACAGCTTCAACCCCAGGGCCCTTCCAGATCCTTCCTTTAACCAACCTCCCTGCTAACTTTCCCATGCTTTTCCAACTGACCCCAGTGTACTGTTGTCAGTGGTCCTCTCCTTGAGAGATTTTTCTCTTTGTTCCCTGCTGTCATCTCAGGAATCCCATCTGGTTCTGCTCCACAGGATGGGATTCTGTTTGGGATGGTAGGGGCTTATGACTGGGGAGGCTCAGTGCTATGGCTTGAAGGGGGACACCGCCTTTTCCCCCCACGAACGGCCCTGGAAGAGGAGTTTCCCCCTGCTTTGCAGAACCATGCAGCCTACTTGGGTGAGTAGCAGAAAGTTGCAGAGGACTTGGGGGGTAGAGGGAGGAAATGCCTCCTTAGTGGGGGGATATGAGCTACTCCCTAGTTTCTTCTTACTGATCTCTTGCTACTTCCCTTGGAACTGCCTTCTGCACCTTTAGGGAAGCCCTGCTCTGACTCTGCCCTTCTTTCCCTTTCCCTCTGGTGTCTTCATGTTTCTAGGTTACTCTGTCTCCTCTATGCTTTTGCGGGGTGGACACCGCCTCTTTCTCTCAGGAGCTCCTCGGTTTAGACATCGAGGAAAAGTCATTGCCTTCCAGCTTAAGAAAGATGGGGCTGTGAGGGTCATCCAGAGCCTCCAGGGGGAACAGGTAGGGCATCCAAGGGAGGGTGGGACTCTTGGATCCCCGGAGACTTCCACGCTGTGGGGGAGCAGTGTGAAGGGGCAAGAGAGAGGCCTGAAAAGTCTGTGCTGCATTCTCCTTGGCAGAGTCTGTCAGGGATGTAAGGACCAGACTGGCAGGCTGGTGAGTGCTTCCCACTGAGACCGCTTGTCTACAATCACTTCCCTTTTCTCTGGGGTCATCACCACCCACCACTCCCCAGATTGGCTCATACTTTGGCAGTGAACTCTGCCCGTTGGATACGGATAGGGATGGAACAACTGATGTCTTACTTGTGGCTGCCCCCATGTTCCTGGGACCCCAGAACAAGGAGACAGGACGTGTTTATGTGTATCTGGTAGGCCAGGTGAGATGTGCTGGGAACCCCTAGGACTTGGAGGGGGGCAGAGGGAGGAAAAAAGGAAAGGCACATCCATTTGAAGTCTTGCTGAGAGGGAGTGGCTTCCTGAATAGCATCTTCTATCTTCTTTTCACCACCTACTAGCAGTCCTTGCTGATGCTTCAAGGAACCCTTCAGCCAGAACCCCCCCAGGATGCTCGGTTTGGCTTTGCCATGGGTGCTCTTCCTGATCTGAACCAAGATGGTTTTGCGGATGTGGCGGTGGGGGCGCCCCTGGAAGATGGGCACCAGGGAGCACTGTACTTATATCATGGCACCCAGAGTGGAATCAGGCCTCATCCTGCCCAGGTCAGGAGTGCCCAAATAAAGCAGGGTCATGGTGGTAGGAAGAGGAGGAGCCCATTGCTTATCAATAGTCCCCTTGGCTTGAGATCCAAACTGAACAAGCACTTTTACCAGTAGGCAAAAAAGTAAGGCAGTAGGGCTAGGATATAGGTTGCTGAATTAGGAACTTCTAAACACAGGCACGTTTCTCTTATGCCCATGCCTGATGGGAAGATTAGAAAGAGGCAGGCAGAAGGCCTGAGAAGCCAGCTGTGTGAGTCCCTGCCTCAGTTTCCTCTCTGTTCCTCTTAGCGGATTGCTGCTGTCTCCATGCCTCAGGCCCTCAGCTATTTTGGCCGAAGTGTGGATGGCCGGCTAGATCTGGATGGAGATGACCTGGTAGATGTGGCTGTGGGTGCCCAGGGGGCAGCCATCCTGCTCAGGTGAGGTATCCCAGCTCAGGTAACAGTGGGCAGCATAGCTTAGCTGTCAGGAGGAAGGGACTTAAAGTCATAGTCTTACACTTTTTATTTATTTATTTATTTATTTGGTCAACTTACTTAGTGCTTCCTTCATAGTTTATAAAATGGCAATCATAATATTATAGGATTATTGTGAAGATTAAATGAGAAAATCCATGTAGAGATTTTAACCCAATGCCCAGCATATGGTATAGTAAGTGTATATTGAATTGAATCTATTATCTCACTTCTGCCAGAGAGTGCAGGGGAGAGTTCACACCTGAATCCAAGCCCTCATTTGTTTGACAACATGGAGACAGACATGGTCATTGGGTGTCGGGTGAAGAGCTTCCCTCTATTGCTAGAATTTCTTTCCCACCCTGTTCCCAGCTCCCGGCCCATTGTCCGCCTGACCCCATCACTGGATGTGACCCCACCAGACATCAGTGTGGTTCAGAAGGACTGCAGAAGGCGGGGCCAGGAGGCAGTCTGCCTAACTGCAGCCCTTTGCTTCCAAGTGACTTCCCGCACTCCTGGTCGCTGGGATCGTCGGTTCTGTGAGTGACTAGAGTGCAGCCTGGCATTTCTCAACTCCCCTGCCTTGGTCTCTGGACTCCTCTCCACCCTCACTCTTGCCTCCTTCAGACATTCGGTTTGCAGCATCACTGGATGAGTGGACGGCTGGGGCGCGTGCAGCGTTTGATGGGTCTGGCCAGAGGCTGTCTCCTCGGAGGCGCCGGCTCAGTGTGGGAAATGTCACTTGTGAGGAGCTGCACTTCCATGTGCTGGTGAGGAGGGGTGGGAACTGCTCTGCATCAGGGCCTGAGAGTGAGGCTGGGTCCAAGGAGGAATCTCAGCTGGATCAGCAGGAAAGCTGCAGCTGGGAAAGTGCAGTGATTCAGACTTTGGAGTCAGGCTGTTCTGGGTCTGAATTCTCACTCTACCACTTACTACCTGTAAACCCTAGCTAGTCACTTTACCACTAAACCTCAGTTTCTTGGTCTGCAATTATTGTTGGTGATAACAATAACTATACCACAGGAGTTGTTTTAGAATTGAGTTTTAAAGTATTGATAAAACCTTAAGACAGTGCCCAGCACACAGAAATGGTCACTACAAATTACATTCTGCCAGGGGCCTGGGTTGTACTCCTAACTCTGGCTTCTCATGATCCTTAACTCTGATTTCTCTCAGGATACATCAGATTACCTCCGGCCAGTGGCCTTGACTGTGACCTTCACCTTGGACAATACCACAAAGCCAGGGCCTGTGCTGGAAGAGGGCTCACTCACCTCTATACGAACGTTGGTCAGCAGTGCCAAGCTCTTCCCTGCCTCTGGGTCTCTCAAACTGCCCTCTCAGTGAATTCAAGAGAAAAGGGAGGAGGGAGATATGAGATCACAGTGAAAGCTGATCTGGGCCCCTCTAACCAAAATATACACATTCTTCTTTTTTCACTTTCCTCCAATACCATTCCTTTCTCCTTACCCTTCTCTCAGCCCTCAGCCCCTTCTCTCTCTTTCAGGTTCCCTTCTCCAAGGATTGTGGCCCTGACAATGAATGTGTCACAGACCTGGTGCTTCAAGCTAATATGGACATTAGAGGCTCCAGGTTGGATGGACATGCACTGGGCAAATCAGGGTGACCTGGGACAAACTGGAAGGGACTTGAAGGGAGCTAGGGGGTTGTTTCTTACCCATGATAACACAAGTAAAACTTTTGTTACTTTTTTGAAAATGGGAAGAGGTGGGAATCTCTTTTGGATTTCAATGGCATCTAGGGTAAAAAGGAACAGATGAGGGTGGGTCATCTTCTGTCTCCCACCTCTTCCCATTTTCAAAAAAAAAGCCCCTGGTCTTTCCCTCATCCACCACCCTTATCCACCATTCCCAGGAAGGCACCCTTCATGGCTCAAGGTGGCCGGCAGAAAGTGCTGGTATCTGCAACTCTGGAGAACAGGAAAGAAAATGCCTACAACACTAGCCTGAATCTCAGCTTCTCTAGAAACCTCCACCTGGCCAGTCTCACTCCTCAGGTGCCCTTGGAGGAAGGGGTGAGGGATGGGGAGGAAGACTTGGGTATTGGCTTCATCTGTAAGGTGCTCTGAAGAAAGGCTCAGGGTTTAGAGGCTGACAGCCGTGGCACCCCCAGCTCCAGCATCTTCCTTCATTATTCTGCCCTCAGAGAGACAGCCCAGTAAAGATGGAATGCACAGCCCCTTCTGCTCATGCTCGGCTCTGCCGTGTGGGTCATCCTGTCTTTCAGACTGGAGCCAAGGTAAGTTGGGATCCAGGGTGAAGAGAGGGCTCTGGGAGAGCAGGGGCTGGGATCGGAGGGTCCTGGGAGTTCCGGGAAAGAGGCATAGGGGCTTCTGTGCTCTGTCGTTGTTCCTTCGGGAAGAATCTACATGTGCTGGTGAGCCCTTTGTCCCATGCCCCTCCCCCAGGTGACCATTCTGCTAGAATTTGAGTTTAGCTGCTCCTCCCTCCTGAGCCAGATCTTTGTGAAACTAACTGCTACCAGGTAAGAACAAAGGGACTGTCCTCTCAGACTTTTCCTGTGGATTCTTGACTAGAGGGGTGGGGAGGAAAAGCACTGAATTCTTTATTGTCAGAGATGGGTGCCTGGGAATGGGTTAGATGTGATTTTCTCCCCTCTTTCCCTATAGTAGTAGCCTGGAGAGAAATAGGACCCTTCAAGATAACATAGCCCAGACCTCAGCCTACATCCGATATGAGCCTCATCTCCTGTTCTCCAGGTATGGCTTCAGACTTACACCTTTCATGTTTCTTCCCTTTCCTTCTGTGTGTTTCAGTGTCCCTGGAAACCCAAACCCTTGGGGCTCCTCAATCTTTTTGCTTTCAGCCGTATTCATGTTGAACTTTCTTATTCAAGCATCTTACTTTTCTAAGTATAGGGTTGTGGTGAGCCCTGGGCGTTGGAGCTGGGATGAGGGTTTATGAAATGTGACCATAAAGTTTGTTTCAGGTCTATGTCATGTTCCGTTTCTATCCTCCCCATACCCCATCTCTTTATCCATGTGCTGGTCCTGCCTTCCCTGGACCCGTGTTTTGTGCTATGTCTGTTATGGCTGTGACCACATGTTTCCTAACTTGGTGTTCACACAGTGAGTCCACCCTGCACCGCTATGAAGTTCACCCGTATGGGACTCTCCCGGTGGGTCCTGGCCCTGAATTCAAAACCACCATTAGGGTAAGAAGTCAGAGGGGTCATGGCACAAGGAAAGCAGGAACAACAGCTGTGTGGGATGTGTGGGAAAAGGATGAGAAGAATCTCTTTTGGATTTCAATGGCATCTAGGGTAAAAAGGAACAGATGAGGGTGGGTCATCTTCTGTCTCCCACCTCTTCCCATTTTCAATCCTCCTCTCAGGTTCAGAACCTTGGATGCTACATGGTCAGTGGCCTCACTATCTCAGCCCTCCTTCCAGCTGTGGCCCATGGGGGCAATTACTTCCTATCACTGTCTCAAGTCATCACCAGCAATGTGAGTCTGGCTTAGGAGGGCATGGAATCCTGCCATCTTGAATTAGTGGGCTTACTGAAGCTGGTCACCATACTAGTTCCCTATTTGTTGGGCCACTGCTATCAGGGCTCCTCCATCTGGAGGACTTTTTTAAATACATATGGCTTATTTGGGAAGAAAGAAAGAGATAATAGGCCAGGTACAGTGGCTTACACCTGTAATCCCAACACTCTGGGAGGCTAAGGTGGGTGGATTGCCTGAGCTCACGAGTTCGAGACCAGCTGGAGCTAGAGTGAGACCTCGTCTCTAAAAAAAAATAGCAGGGCATTGTAGTGAGCACCTGTAGTCCCAGCTACTTGGGAGGCTGAGGCAAGAGAATTGCTTAAGCCCAAGAGTTTGAGGTTGTAGTGATGCCATGACA